AACTATGTCAACCCCCCACTGAGTAAAAGACAGAGGCGAGCTAATCGGGACCATGTTCTCAGCTGCTCGGTGGATCAATGGACCATGTTGCTGACACTTCTTGCATTTGCGCACAAGGTCCTGCGCCATCATCCTCATCTTAGGCCATAAGTATCCAGCCCAAAGCACCTCCAACCAACGCTCTAGCCTTTAGGTGATCGCCGTAACATCCTTCATGCACCTCCCTGAGCACGTATTCTCTGTCCGCCTCCGAGACACACCTCAGATGAGGCCCTACGTACGATCACTTATATAGGATTCCATTCTGCAGGTAGAACCTCAATGCTCTCCTTCCGACCGGGTCGTCCCTGATATCTTTTCTGACTACCGGCTCCTGCAGCCATTGTATTAAGGGCGACCTCCAATCCTTTTGCTCTTCAACTTCCAACACCTGGTCTAAAGTACTTCTAGTCATATCCATTAGTGCCACCGACTGAGATCGACAGTCAACAAGAGACGTGGCCACCTTTGAGAGTAGGTCGGCCCTACTATTTTCTCCCCACGGTATTTGTATCAACTCCCATGTCGCAAATTCTTTCAACATCGCCTCGGCCTCGACCAGGTACCTCTTCATGCGCTCTTCCTTATCTTCATACTCACCCCTGATCTGTTTGACCACAAGTTGAGAATCCGAATGAATGATCACCTGGCGAGCTCCTTCCTTTAGGACGAGCTGAATTTCCTTAATGAGAGCTTCGTACTCCGCCTTATTATTTGACACCCTAAAGGACAACTTGACCGCAAACTCTAAGTGGTCCTTTTCTGGTGTGACCACCAAGATGCCCAGACCTGCTCTTCCTACCACCGACGAGCTGTCGACATACACCATCCACGGTCCCTTCTCGGTTCCCACTGTGCACTGCTGTATGAAGTCAGCCAACATCTGGGCCTTAATAGCTTTTCGTATCTCAAAATCCACATTATACTCACCCAGCTCAACTGCCCACTTCACCATTCTCCCCGAGGCCGAAGGACGACCCAAAGTATCTTTGAGCGGGTAGTTGGTCCGCACCATGACCTTATGCGCTAGAAAGTAAGGATGCAATTTCCTAGCTGTAGAGATAAGTGCTAACGCTGCCTTCACCACATCGGAATATCTGCGCTCGGCGCCCTGCAATATCTGGCTGGCATAGTATACCGGCTTCTGCTGTCCATGATCCTCTTTTATCAACACCGAACTAATCGCTTCGTGCCCCACCGATAGGTATACAACTAACGTGTCACCTGGTTCTAGTTTTGTGAGTAAGGGGAGTTCAGCTAGAAACTCCTTCAACCTTTTAAAGGCCTGTTGTGCTTGCGGCGTCCACTCGAAACGCGACCCTTCTTTAAGGCCTTAAAAAACGGAAAACTCTTCTCTGTGGAATGGGCTATGAACCTGCTCAACCCTGCTAGGCGTCCGGTTAGGATCTGCACCTCCCTCAAGTTCCTCGGTGCCTGCATCTCCATAATAGCTCGTACCTTCACTGGGTTGACTTTTATGCCCCTCTCCGTGACCAAGTAGCCCAGAAATTTTCCTGACCTTACCCCAAACTTGCACTTAGCCAGGTTGAGCTTCATGTCGTATTGTCGCAAGGTGCTCAAGGTCTCGCGTAGGTCTACCACATGATCATCTGCCTTCCTGCTCTTTACTAGCATGCCATCGACGTAGACCTCCATATTCCGACCAATCTGCCCTTTGAACATTTTATCCACTAACCGTTGGTAAGTAGCCCCTGCATTCTTCAATCCGAAAGAAATGACAACGTAGCAATATGTGCCCTTGGATGTCACAAAGCTAACTCTCTTCCAGTCCTCTTTGGCGAGAGGCATCTGGTGGTACCCCTGGGATGCGTCCATCATGCTCAACAGCTCGCACCCAGCCGTAGAGTCGACGAGTTGGTCAATACGTGGTAGGGGGTAGTGATCTTTGGGGCATGCTTTGTTGAGGTCCCTGAAGTCTATGCACATCATCCACTTTCCTTCTCCCTTCCTCACCATGACTGAGTTGGACAGCCACTCCGGGAATTGAATGGGTCGCACATGCCCCGCCTTCAAAAGCTTCTCCACCTCTGCCTCAATAACAACGTCAAGCTCGGCACCAAAGTGCCTTCTCTTTTGCTTCACCGGCTTCATAGTTGGATCGATGTTCAACCTTTGCTCTGCTACCACTAGATCGATTCCTGTGAGGTCGTCAGCCGAAAAGGCGAAAACATCCACAAACTCCTTCAATAGTGCAATCAACGCGCCTTGTATGTCGGCCGCCAAATGCCGACCCACCTTCGTCGTCCTGTCTGAGCTTCCTTCTACCAATTCAACTTCCATAAGTTCGTCCTGGGAGCTCATCCCCATATCTTGCCTCTTCTCCCGGTGGGAGCTCTCAGGTAGGTCATCCTTCCTTTTCTTATGTTGTGCCTCGGCCGTCTTCAAGGTGACCTCATAGCACTGTCGGGATTGCAGCTGGTCTCCAGTCACCTCTCCAACCTCATCCCCTACAGGGAATTTAATCTTCATGCAATAAGTGGAAATGGCTGCCTGGAATGAATTCAAGCTAGGCCGCCTCAGTATGATGTTGTAGGCAGAGCTAGCATCTACAACCAGGAAGCGCACCATCTTCACCTTTCTCAAAGGTGACCTTCCTAACGCCACCGTTAAGCTAACTTCGCCTACGGGGCGAACGTCACTACCGCTGAAGCCATAGAGAGCAGTGTGGACCGACTCGACCTTCACGTCTAACTCCATCTGTTGCAAGCACTTCAAGAAAGTGATGTCGGCTGAGCTCCCTGTGTCTATGAGCACCCTTTGCACGCCGTAAATGGGCACCTCCACAGTGATGACCAAAGCGTCATTATGTGGGACAACGATCCCCTGCACATCTCAGCTCCAAACATCAAAGTGGCCGAGCTTCTCTGCACCTGCACCTCAGCCACCTCTCCTGCCACACTCTTTCCCTGGTAGGTCATCTTCCTCTCCTTATGCGAATCTCCATCAGTAGGACCTCCCGCGATCATGTGTATTATGCCCCTCTTAACTTGTCTGTCAGGTTGCTCATTAGTCCTCCTCCGCTTGTCACCCGACTCTCGCCCCTCCCGACGATCGTCCTAGTGCTCTCTGTGCTTAATCATGAACTCTTTCAAGTGACCTTCCCTAATGAGCCGCTCGATTGCATCGTTCAACTCCCGGCACAAATTTGTAGAATGGCCATAATCATAGTGGTACCGACAATACATGTCCTTTGATGCCGAGAACTTCCTCGGTGGGGGCAAAGGCTTTGGCTGCGCCAGCAACTTGTCCTCCCCTCACTTTTCCATCATCTCCAGGATCTCCTGTTGTGGTGCGTCAAGTGGTTTTTGGTGCTCATACCTCGGACCCCTGAACCGATCCTCAACCCTAGCCTCCGTAGGGGCAGATCGCCGATCATCCTGTCGAGGCCTCTCGTCCACTTGCTTGGCCTTTGTTTTGTCATTTCAGATGAAGTCCGCCTCCTATTCCTCCATGTTCACATATTTGCTACACCTCTCAAGTAACTCGTCAAAGGACCTCGCCGGCCTCTTTGCCAACGAATCTCTGCACTTCCCCGGCCTCAATCCCTGCGTAAGGCCTCCAGCTTTGATCTCTTCAGAGGCAGAGGGACCTCCATGCACTCTAAGGTATACCGTGGTACATATTGCCGCAAGGTCTCCCCCTCCTTCTGCCGCATATTGATTAGTGAAAGATACGTCTTCTCTTGCTTCCTGGTACTCGCGAATTGATTCAAAAACAGAGAGCTAAACCTTTCAAAGCTATCGATAGATCCCGCTGGCAGCTGGTGGAACCAATCCTGCACCAACCCCTTTAACGTCGTCAAGAAGGCTCGGCAACTCACAGCATCACTATAATTGTGCAGCACGGCTATGTTGTCAAACGATCTCAAGTGCCTGGCTGGGTCCGCCGATCCATCATAAGACAAACTCAAATCCCTGAAGTTGCTAGGCAAATCCTCTCCTAAGATATCCTCTGCAAAAGGGTGTCCTCGCGAAACTACAGGTCTCTTACCCTGCACCCGAGCTTGGAGTTCCCGTATTTGAGTTGCCAACCTTTCCAAAGTCAACCCATCTGGTTGTGTCATTGCCACCGGGCGGGAGGTCACCGACCTAGCATCATACTCGTCACCCCTCTCCAAGTGCTGGTGCTGCTGCTGATGCAAGGGGACCTGTGGTTGAGGTGCTAGTGGCTGCCATGGTGGAGGTTGTCGAAACGACTCGTTAGGAGTTCTCTTATCCACCTCTTGAGCCCAGCCTATCGCTTCAGCAATGATCCTGTCCAACTCCGACCTGGTCATCTGAATAACTGGGTCGTCCCGTGGTGCCGAAGAAACATTGTCCCCCGGAGGGTTTTGTGCTCCTACCCCGACCAACTGCCTACTACCAAGGGCACCACTCTGATCACCAGCACCCCCCAGCAACCGTGGTGCCAACCTCCTTCCCTTTGTCTGTTAAACCACCCGATCTTCTCTGGTTCGGCACGCGCCCCTGAGTTTCTGATGGTTGTACCGGGGTCACGCTTGGGCTCAACAGCGTCTCTTTAGGGGTGATAGGCGATGGTGACCATCCTGGCAGGGGACCTGTCCCGAAGGCCCTCCGAGCCCACTCCTCATCCATCTCCTTCATCAAGCTCTTCTTCGAATTATCTCCTGCCATGATCCTTGTTCTCTTCTTTTTTGGTGAGAAAAACAGCCTTTAATGCTCCGATAGAAGACTGATTTTCCCCACAGAGGGCGCAATTTGTTATACCACAAACACTTGAACCGGTGGACCACTCATCTCCGAACCGAGTTATGTCTCCTTGATCGCCGGTACCTGCAAAGCACGCCGGGGGTGGTCCCGATGCGAACACTCTGACACTCAAATTAGTGGTGGTCAAAAGAAAAAACGACAGAGTAATGAGAGAATTTTTATGTGTGTGTTGTGTAAATGAAATAACCGACGCCCCTTTTATAGATGAAGTCATCTAGAGGTTGAAGAGTTCTTGTCATACTATGAGTCTTTCTCTGGATTAAGTCAAAATCCTATTCATGACTCGAGCACGATGCCACCTATAGGCCCTGGTCCCCTCAACAGAACGTCCAGCTACCTAGGTGCCAAGGTGTCCTGCCTGGCCTACGTCGAGCTAGCCTCCGCCTACCACCCACGTATTCCCAAGGTACCATGGGCTACGCCTACCACAGCCTCTACCTACCACCCATGTACCCTAAAGGTACCATGGACCGCGCCTACCAGATTGAGCCACCAGCTCAGTGCGACTAGAACCCGTATCACAACCAGTCCTTCATGAGCCGCTACTAATGACCACATCAGAGAGGCTAAACAAAGTCTCATAATATTTTACGTACGCACTCGTATTTGATGTTATTATTGTAAAATTCTTAGTGACTTAAAGTATTGGAGCATCTACGTCAAAAAAACTGCTTGACGCTTTATAGGCTACTAATGTTTTAATCAAATGCAAAGCGGACACAAGGACCTTGTCTTAGTGCATTAAAAAAAATCATGTTAAAACTTTTGAATGCTCGTTGATATAGCATCCATATTAGCTCGGTGAATCAGTTAAGAGATGTTAGCCCGGTTAACCGTTTTGGGCCGATTACAATTTGGTGATAATGTTAGGTTTCGTAGAGGAACTCAGAGTATTAGCTCGAGGGGCAATACAGCTATAGCTCAGTGGTGCAGAACCGACCTCACCAAGGAGCTCGACTAAGAGAGATATATGTAGCGAACTGTGAGCACCCTATGGCTCTCGGTAGGTCGTAGATTGACCTAGCAAGGGGGCACAACTGCGATCAGAAAGTCGAGATTGCGACATGAGTACCTAATAGTTTATATTGGGAAGATATATAGAATCTAGGAAAGTGTATCGCAAAGAAAGAGAGAATATGAGATATGTACCATATTATAAAAGACGATACATGCCTATCTCTTTACTAGTAACAGAGTATCGTGAAAAAAAAGACAACCTCCTTATAAAAGGAACTTTTTGGGTTTTCTGGTTCATTAACGTGTAATGTACTTTACCACACTCGATTACAATTCAAAAAAAGTTGAATCTCTAACTTGAGCATTTTTCCCACCGAGACCTCCTCCCGGTATATTTTGCAGGTCATCATAGTTAGAATCTATTCTTGAGGTGTCTGTGATACTACCCATATATTCTAGTTTGAGTATACTACCCATAGTTTGAATATTGACCGTGCAATATTCATTACTTAGCCTTAACAGCGACCCTTTGATAAGCTCCGCATCGCCTTCAACGAAGATATAACTCGAGGTACGGTCCTTGTCTTCTATTCGCAAAATATGATCGGCTGGCCGTCGTTGGGATGTAAAGTCACCTCTCGTTCCAAGCATCTGATGTCGGCGCAGTATCAGGTGAGCCAATCCATGCCAAGTGTAACATCGAAGTCCAACATCTCAATAATGTAGGTGTCGGCCACCAGGCTCCTTCCGTCGATGCCAACTTTCAAACCCTGCACCATAGTATTAGTGACGATCGTATTTCCCGAAGCTAGGCTAACCTCGAGTGCGTCGACCATACTAACACTCTGGATTCCCAACGCCTCCAAACATTGCGAAGAAACAAAGGAATACGTGACCCTAGTGTCACACAAAGCAAATACGGGCACATTGGATATGGAAAGCATGCCTGACATAGTACATGTGTTTGTTGCAGCCTCATCATGGGTCAGTGCATAGGCTCGGGCCTGGCCTCCAATCCTCTATTGGTTGGGTTGCTGCTACTGTTGGTACTGTCCCGCGTTCTGGCTCCTCGGCTCAGGGAACATGTGGGCAAAGTGTCTGAGTCGCTGGCAGTTATAACACGTCTTCTGAGCCGGAAAACAATCGTCTACTGCATGAACCATGCCACATGCCCGACATCGTGGCTATCCTTCCAGGATCTGTCGATTGGGCTGAGCTCTCTGAGGGAGTTTGTCATTATCATGGGGATTGTTCCTCTTGCAATCAGATTGATGGTCATTCCTCCTCTTGTTCGGGCCAAAAGAGGGTTGAGTTGTGATAGTTGATTGGGTAGTCTTAGCCACATGCTGATATGAAGGAACTGGGGCGACAGAAGCCTTACAACTCTCGATCTGTTGTGCTCTGATTACAATCTTTACATATAGAAAGTCCCCATGACTCTCCAACAACACATGAAATCCCGTCGAAGCCCGCCTACGAACTTACGAGCCTACTTCTCCTCCGTATCGACCATGTATCGAGCGAAGGAACTCAAATGATTAAAAGCACTTGCGTACTGATCTACAATGGTGTCTCTTTGTCGAAGGTCCCAGAACTATCGCTCCATGTAGTCGCGATAGCTTTGTGGAAAATACTTGTCTGTGATGATCTCCTTCATTCTGACCTAAGTGAGAGCAGTACGCTCATTCTCGGGGCTCAGAACCCAGTAATCTGTCCACCAGTCGGAGGCAGTGCCCTCCATTGGGAACTCAGCACAGTCAATACGCTGGGACTCTGAGTATCGGAGCATGGAGAAAATCCGATCCATCTTACAGAGCCACTCCGTCAAAGTTGTCGGACCCTCCACTCTGATAAAGGTCAGCGGTAGCATATTCTGAAACTGGACTACCATCCCAGCATGGTCGTCACCCTGAGCGGGTGGAGCCTGATGAACATGCGGATCAACGGCTCAACAGGAGGCATATCTATAAACAAGATAAGCCGAAAATTTAGCACGAGTCTCAAATACTAAAGTTAAACAAAATATTAAAAGAAGGAGAATAAATTCCTAAGCCCCAAAATTAAACAGTTAACCAAGTATATAACAATTAACTCATACCTTGAGCTGGCGCGGCTGAACGCGAGGGATCATAAACATAAATACTTAGACAATTTCAAAAGCATTTCTACAGAAACGTAGACTTGCTCTGATACTACATTGTAACGCCCCCTTATTTTAAGAGAAAAATATCGAATATTTTTTGGAAATCACAGGTTATTTTTTAAAATCATTTTAACAATTAATTCAACGGGCATTACTCACCTATCTCAATTAATCAGCTTAAGTCCAAACTTAAGCAACTGTGAATCAACCATCCCAGATCAACAATTCATGTCAAACAAATAAACATATATCATGATAATCTCAAATCATAATAAACATCAACAAATCCAGTTCATAAATCAAAGCATACGAAATATCCAAATACACGATTCAGTCTCAAGTTGAACATTTAACTTGTCTGGCAATGATATCAATAATAAAAATTGGCACAATTAATAACAAATCAAAAGTAAAAAATAAATATGACCCTGTCTCGCTCGTCTTTCGGCGCAGCTACTAGCTCAACCTGAAAGGGGAGAAAATAGTGGGGCTGAACAAACCAACTAGCTCACCGTGGAAATACCATGCAGTCTATTCAATAGAATGACTTAAAATCTAATCGCAGCATGAACACATATCGTCCAGTCTATCTCCTAAACAACCCTATACTCATATGATCACATCTAAACCGTCAGAAACCATAAACGGGAGCTAAACTGTTGGAAACCCGTCAATGGGAGAATACTCTCTTTAGGATAAAGTAGGAGAACGTCGGAACCACATCAACGTGAAAACCTCTCATAGACTAACGGTTCACATGCATGCATTGATTATCAAGCCAAACAATTATACAGAATAACATACACGGTGAAGTTTATCAACACCCACCTGATTAGTTGAAGAAGACGAATACACCAGGTCAGATGAAGGTAGAAAAAGGCTCGATTCCTCAAACACCTACATTTAATCAAGATAATATTTCAAAAATACTTGTCTTGAAAAATCAGGAATTTAAACGAGAATTCATGTAATAACCCAGTTTGTTATTAATAAAAGCGACGTATTTTCTTTTATTAATATTATTCATTTCAGCGTTTGAGCCAATAAGTTCGACTTTAAGTCGATAGTCTACTAAGTTTATGTTAACCGAGTTTATTTCGATAATTAGTTCCCAAAACATTTATTGTTGTAAACGGATATTCTTAGTCGGGATTAATTATTGAAAATCAAGATTATTCGAGTGAACTTTCGAAGTTAAGTTCCAACCGAAAATGAGTAAATTCGGTTTAAGTTGTCATGTATACTCACCATCCCTATACATCAACACATTCACATTGGTACACCATCCATCTATAGCTCGAGCCATGTACACGCACACGTCATGTGCGTTCGCGCGCGCCAACCGTAGCGCCGCTGTGCGCAACGCGCGCTACCGTGCGTGCATGCGCACATAAGCCACCGTCCATGCTAGTTTTTGAGTTAGTAAGTGTAATGGTCATGTCTAATTAAATCTTGCTTAAGACCCTTAGTATTGCCGTGAATTTTCTAGCCTAAGATAAGTCCTTGTGCAAGTTGCAACAGTGACTCACCTACTTGCTTGCACTTATGTGGCATAGTATGGCATATGCACTTGATGACTAGCCATTCTTCACGCCACCTAGCCCGACGACTAAGAAAGGAAAATGCCACGGAAGCCCATGGTGATAACATGTGGCATCCTTAAGTTAAAATATTATTTCACCTCCATCATTTTATAAGCAATGTCGTGGGTTCTTCATGCATTGTTTCATGCAAACCGAGCTTCAAATAAGATAGAAAACCGAGAGCAAAAGATAGAAAAATATTAAGAGTATAGCTTGTAATAGTCTTGACCAAGGGGAAGCACACGCACACCATCGAAACTACGAGCAAGCACACGCAAGTCATAACCCGTTTTACATGCGATTGGAAGGGTACATTCATATTAACTCCCTTTTAGCTATTTCATGTTCATGTCAAGTAGATCATGTAGCAATCATGTCGGTTAGTTCATGTTTTGTGCCAGAATGCACTCGGAGGTGCTATATAAGCCCTTTCTGAGCCATGTCATAATCTAAACGAACACTCCCAGACAATTTATGTACATTTAGTCATTTCATGTCATTTCATGACCAGCCAAGTCATAGTTGCTAGACGGTCGGCGAAGGGCCGACCGTAGGACCTGCCCGCACGTAGCGGTGCAGCGCCAGCCCGGCAGCGGCCTGCCACCACACAGCAGAATACGCACGGCAGCAGTGCGTCGTGCACAACCTGTGCGGCAGCGCTCAACAGTGTGCCGCCAGTGGCCATGCGTGCAGTGCACGCCAGCTCGCCCGACAGCACGCAGTCAGGCCACGTGCATACATCCGCAGCGTGCAGCGAGCATGGGAAGCGCCCCAGTCGCCCCCAGCACACGCGCGTACCGCCAGCCA